ACCAAACATTTGTGATGAATTAGTTACTACAGTGGAATATTAAAATTGAATGACAAAACAAGTACCCATGTAATAGTGAAAACTAATCTTTCCTAACTAGTTTTCTATAGCAGGGGTCAGCAGTAACAGGCCAACAGTTTGTGGGACAAAACCACCTTGCTGCCTATTTTTGTACAACCTGTGAGCAAAAATGAATGATTTTTACATTTTTAAATAGTTGGGGAAAAATCAAAAGAAAGAATAACATTTCATGACATATAATAATTGTCTGAAACTGTATGGAATTGTATGAATTCCAAAGGTCCTCATTTAGGGAGGTTCCATAAATGAAGTTACATGGAAACACAGCTGCACTTACTCAGTTATGTACTGTTTATGACTGTTTTTGCATTGCAGAGTGGCAGAGTTGAGTAGTTGCAATAGAGACCACAGAGCCCATAGTTATTAACTGGGCATTTTAGAGAAAACGTTTTCCAATCCCACTTCTACAGACATGCATGATGCTTCAGGTAACCTGCTCCGCTAAGGGATAATTCTTTGCTCCACTTAAGAGGAAGGACCTCACATCTGACTGCAGTTAAGCTGATTTTCAGAACTTCAGATGATGTCATCATGTATGTGTGGGAGTATTTAGCAAATACTGACCATGATACGCTAGAGCCAGAAGTCACCTCTACCCATTTCCCTCTTTTCAGATGACTAAAGACTCTTATTTTCCTTTTATGCTGGAAGAGGAATCATTTTAGAGATCATTTCTGAAAAAAATTATTTGCCACATTAGCTAGAAAGAAAGTTAGTTGCCAAGAAAGCTCATTTACAAGAGCTCTGTCACTGTTTATATGGTGTTGGGTTACAGTGTCATTATAAAGAAAACTTGAATGATAAACGGTCATGACTTTTCATTCTATCACATAACATGGGAAAGATAATGTACCTGTGCAGCACGAAGCTTTTGTCTCTTTGGTTCGACTTCTTTGACTACTCGAGAATACAAATCCATTGCTCGTACCCACATACACATGGATTTACATGCTTTGGACACTTTCTCTACTTTTTCAGGCACAAAATCAGGATTATTAATATATTTTTGAAGCTTTGTCAATATCTGAGGCTTTATGTTTTCCTTGTCATATTCTAAAAGTCTTCTTAGAAAGTTAGAGTCACCAAGAAGTTGCTTTGCGGTTGGCCAATCAGGCCTGAAAGACAAACATGATAAATTAACAGCACTGTAATGAAGTAAGACAAGAAAAAAATAATTGCATTCCCTTGGGAACATTTCGATATTATCCCAATAAGTGGGTAGTTTTAATCTCTATACTATAGGTCCAGTAACTGGTAGTTTTAATGAAAAGTATGCCACAATTCATGGCAGACGTAATTGGATGACTAAGGTTCAGTTCATCTCAGGGTTGGCAGAGAAAGAATTATAAAATTATATAGTTTTAGAAATGTAAGGCATTACAGAAATAACAGTTTTATTTTTAAAATGCTCCAGACACATATTTTACCTCCTTTGCCTTAGTTTAGGCCCTTAAAAGCTCTTGCCAGTACCATTGCAATCACTTTCTACTTGGATTTAAAACTCTTGGTCAGCCTTGCCCCTTCTGAACTTTTGCTAGATTGGTCTTCCTAACATGAAAATTTATGTAAAAAATGTCCAATGGTTCTCAGTCTCCTCTGCCAGTGTTTTCCATTTGTTCTCTGCAGAGCCCTTAGCCCCACCAAGGTGCTGCCAGGAGGGTCAGGATGGAGTGCTGGGCCCTCTACCTTTGCTCTTATCAGTTTTCTGTAAGGAAGTTCCCTATGAAATAAATTTTGTTGATAGAAAGGTTTGAGTTGTTAAAGAATGTTTGAAAATTAGGCATCTCCAGGATAAAATCTGAGCTGCTTAGCACACACAGTACACAAGACCTTTCATGAAGTAGTCATTGCTCCACCCCTGCCCATCCCATCACATTCTGCAAGCAAGAAAGTTTCCTGAGTTCTTCCCACTGTCCCACTATCTGCCTCAATATCAGGAGCATCAGTTCCTGAATACTCTGCTCACATCTCTCCAGGTGGACTTAGGCACATTTTTCTTCGTACTCTCAATACCATGCAACTCTCACATTGCCTTGAAATTATTATTTTTCATGTCTGTCTTTGCACGAGACTATAAACTCCTTTTAGGAAGAACTTTATCTTGATATCTTCCATTATCTAGCACAAACTTGATGTTCAAAAAATGCTTGTTGAATTGATTTGTTGATTGAACAACAAATGACTGAATCAATGCATGGGTGGAGAAAAGAAAGAAACATACAATAAAATGGAGAAAAATTGTAAAGAAATACCACCAAGCATTCTGTTAATACATGAATCTGAATTACTCACTTTGCATTCAAGAGAATGGAAATTGCTTCCATTACTGTCATGACCAAATCTGGAGGCTTTGTGAAAACTCTGATTTCAGATATATCTGCTTTATCTAAGGAGTCCAGTGCTTTATTGGCAGCCTCAAGGGCAGGTAGAGCTTCTTCAAGGTCTCTTTGAGCATCATCAGCTATGGCTTGGGTTTCTTCAGCTTTCACTTTTGCCATCGCTTCTTCTTCTTGCACAGTTTGACGGACCTAACCATTGAAACATGACTGCTTAAGTGGTCTTGTTGTTTAAATTTCAATGTTCAAAAGCAATACCAATAAAAATGAGTCACATTTGCCCTTTGGGTTAGAGCAAAGAGGACTAGCTACACTGCATTTTATGCTCTCCTTTGTCCCTCTCACACAATGCTGACAGAATAATAGAGAAAAATTATCACACTAAAAGTCTCTTTTTCTTTGTATTTGTAGCGGATACTTTGCTCATAACTCTCCTTGTCCCACTCATTGAGATGCACCCATTCTTAGGGTAATAAACCAGGCTGATTTATTGAATGGAGATTGTTTACAATTTTAAACATTGCTAGATTTACGTATCATTCTATTACCTCAGTGATATATGAAATAAAGCAATACAATCATTGTAATTGTTTCATTACATATGAATGGTGACTGATGCCTTCTTACTAGCACTGACAGGTAATGTAGCCTACCTGATCGGCACTTTCTTGATCCACTGCCAATTTATCCATCAGGGCTTCAACATCTTGTGATTTTGTTAAAAGGACAGGTTCTAAAGCTGAAAGGTCTAATTTCATTTTGTCTACCAGTACGTTCGTTTCTAATAGCTTGGTTAGACCATTCTTCACCCGATCTAGTGCCTAAATGACATGAAAATACCTATTATAGTGACTATTATAAATTATAAGTTTATCGGCATCTTGACTCACGTACTAGAATTTTACATTTATAGAATTGATAAGTCAGTTTGTAATGCTTAAAAGCTGTGATCTTGCAGAACTCCTCAGGTAACAGAACTCTGAGGAGAAGCTATGACACTCACCATGGTAGGTCTGGATCCATGCTGTAATAGTATAGACAGATTAGAATCTCTGGAAGATGAATATGTGTTCTAACTTCATAACCTAAAGCTCCATATTAATGTTCAACTTAAACATTGCCTTATTCTACTACTTGTAGCTATAATCACATAAGAATCCTGTCCCTGCAACCACATTCCTAAGATCATAAAACCAAGACAGGAACAGCTCACAGGACAGGGAAACCACACTCCTCAGATCCTGAGACCAAGGAAGGAACACTGTAAGAGAAATAACACAAATGTAAATTTACTGCTTAGATGGCATTTACTGATAACAGACCATTTTTGAGATGTTTTCTAGCCCATTGTCCATGATCAGCATTAACGAGTCTTGGAGCCTGTGCACTCCTGCCCTCCTTGACCACCTGATGAACTAAAATGGACAATTTAAGATGAAACCAAGACTTGAACCAAAAGCAAACAGCAGAATACAGAAGAAGTTGTGGCATCCATGTTGAAACAGACAGGCTCCATCTTAGAAAGAGATTGCATAGGCACTTGGCCTGAAGGAAGTTGAGGTTTATCATTAGGAATTTATCACAGCCTTGTTCTGCTTCCTGACTTTCATAAAAAGGTCAGGATTTTATGAGTAACCTGCCTGCATAAGATATTTTAGAAATCACATACCTCACAGCCTTAAAATTATTATAAAAACCCTTAGCCTGTAAGGCTCATGGAGACACACATGGCATTGCCTCTGGCTCTGTGTGTCTCCACCTTGCAAGATTACTATCCTCTTATTAAATTTCTCTCTGAGCTGCAGCTTACTTTGTAGTCATTATTTCAGAACTTGACCAGCCACAATGCCACCTGGTCAGTAGGAGCTCCCTGGACTGTGGGCCCATTGTGGGAAGGGAACACATTTTATTAACTTATATCCCCCTATGGTAGCATACGCACATCAAATGAATAAGGAATGAGTTCGGACAGGAATCTGGAGGCTACAGTGCTAGCATCTTGGTCATTCAAGGTGGGTCAGCAGGGCTGAGAGATCCCAGGGAGACAGGGTCCTAGATATGCCTAGCTCTAGTTGCTGGGTTTGAGCCCCACTGAGTTCTGGTAAGAAACTCTGGTGGCACAGTGGGTAAGGAACTTTGCTAACCAGAAGGCCCGCAGTTCAAACCTACCAGCTGCTCCTTGGGACGAAGATGAGGCAATCTATTTCTGTAAAGATTTACAGCACTGGAAACCCTAGGAGGGTTGTTATGAGTTGGAATAGACTTGATGGCAGTGTGTTTGGTTTTGGTTTGGTTTGAGATCTGATGGTGTAGTGGCTAAGGTATTTGGCTGTTAAACAAAGTCAGTGGTTTGAACCCACTAGCTGTTCCATGGAACAAAGATGAGGCAGCCTGCTTCCGTAAAGATTTACAGCTTTGGAAATCCAATGGCGGTTGCTATCAGTTGGAATCAACTTGATGGCAGTGGGTTTGGTTGTTTTGGTTGCCACTGGTTAGGAACGCCTAACTAGGATCAAACTCTTAACTAGGGCTGGAATCTGGCAGAGGAGGCAATTGGAAATAACTGTTTTTTGAAGGTTTATTATAACTTTAAACATTGCTACATTTATCTATCATTTTATTATTTCAATGATATAAAATAAAACAATCATTGTAATTATTTCATCGCATATAAATGATCAACTGCTGACTGAAGCCTTCTTACTAGCACTGTCAGGTAATGCAGCCTACCTGATCAACACAGTCTTAATCCACTGCCAATTTATCCATCAGGGCTTAGAATGGTTTGGTGCAAATTGGCAGGTGTCAAAAGAATATGGCAAGTTGTTTCACAAGGCATGTATTTTATCAGGTAATAATCCTCTGAAAAGCACTTTAACTATCTAAATGGTAAATGTTTCCATTGTATTTGTTTAAAATGTTATTTAATAGTCTATTGATGATGAAAACAGCCACTATTTTCTGAGCACCGCATATGTGTCAGATCATATGCCAAGCAAGCACTTTAAAAACAGTATGTTATTTAAATTCCACAACAATCCAAGAGGAAAGACAGTTATTTTTAGATTTATTTTCTACTAAGGTTTGAGAGAAGTTACATTAATGTGTCCAAGGTTGCACAGCAAGAAACAGGCAGCTCATATATGTACATAGTCTGCGTGACACCAAAGTCCTGGCTGTTAATGGGAGCCACTGACATGGTAGACCACTAAACTTCATCTTTGTTGCTTAGCAAAAAAGTTGTCCTTCATATTAAATACTGCAGAGATGATTAGTTCCCTGCTTAATGTTGATGCTGTTGCAATGTCCATATTGTTCTACCAAGTCAAGATATTTATGTGAATGATAAACCAAAAAACCAAACCCATTACCAATGAGTTGAGATTCCCACTGGGTTTCTGAGGTGGTAAAATCTTTATGGAAGTAGATTGGCTCATCTTCCTTCCATGGAACAGCTGGTGGGTTTGAGCCACAAACCTTCTGGTTAGCAGTCAAATGCCTTAGCATTATACCACCAGAACGCCTTATGAATGATAGGAGACAAAATATAGTTACCAAGAAAGGGCAGGTTCCTGGACTGACAACATCTCCAGTTATAGCATGAGATACCTTTCTGCCATACTGTGGGTTGTCAAGGATACATAGCAGGATGGAGGACACTCCAGTAGGTAAAGTCAGGGCAGAGAGGTCTCACTTATTCTGGCAAAAGTTTTAAGTTCAAGCAAAAGAAGAAAAAAATACCTTCATTGATAATATTAAACTTACTAAAACTAACTGTTTCTTCTTTTCACTCAGCATAGACAGGTAGAGATTGATCAGTTCCAAGTAGGAGGTAGGTGTTGTGTAGTAGCGCCTCCGGAGCTCTGTGTAAAAGCGCTCTGCCATCTGGGAGACACTCAGGTGAACGTTCACGCACATGAGGGAAAGCTTTTCTCTCAGGTCTGCATTTCCAGGGTCAACAGTTGAGAAAAATGTCTTTGATACAGAAAGAAGTGCTTCTTTGGGCCACTTTAAATTAGAAAATAATTTGGAAAATCTGTTGGTTATTTCAATAATATATAGATGAACAATTTAGAAAAAATTATTTCTCTAGAATTCTTTGCCTTGTAAATAGTCTGCTCTCCACTTTCATGAATCACATAGCTCTGACTCTGAGAGTGGGGCCTGAGTCTGCTTTTGCTCAATATCTGGCACATCAGAGTTGTTCAATAAAAAATTGTTGATTGAAGAATGACTGTGTGTCCTTAGAATAATTCCATGAACAAAATCATATACATTACTAGGACCTCATATCCTCATTTTGTTTATTATGCAGTTTGAACTTCAGACCCATCATTACAATCACTGTCCTGCTCACACCTCAACTCTTTTGCTCCTTTTTGTTTCTCTGGGTTCATGGGAATCCTAATCAAATGCAACTCTGTTACTGCATGTCTATAACAGTGCTGCTAAGCATGACTGGGAAGAAAAAAAAAATGCAACCATGCTGACTGGCCTTGCTTTCAATTTACAACTAGATCAAGGAGGCCCCAGTGTAGCCTAGAACTCCTACTACATTTCTAATATATTCACTCTTATAATCTCTTAAGTAAATATTTCACACTTGGCTCTCTCCACTCACACTTCTAACACATCCACTTTCCTCTTGACTCTCAGTTGATGGTCTTGCTTCCTACATCACTGTAAAACAGAAGCAATGAAACAGAACTTCAACAAGCTCCCACGCCCACATCCACCCCGTGACTTGCGTCTGTGTTCATCTCCTCTGCCCTCCCCTCCTCTTACTCTGGGTAAGGTGTGCATGCTTTCTGCTCAGGTCAGCTCCTTCATTGATCATCCCATCCCTTCCTTCCTACTCAAAGAGATTGGCTCAACAACATTTAACTCTGTCTGCAGCATCACCTCTTTCTCTTTCTGGATCATTTTCATCAGCATGTGCACATACTGCTTGTGTTTCCCATTTAAAAATACTTCTCTCTTGACTGCACACACTCCTCTAGCCATTGACCCATCTTTCCACTCTCCTTTGGTGCAAATCTCCTTGAAAGAGTAACTTTTATTTGCTATCTCTAATTCCTCCCCCCCCCTTTCTCTGTAACTATCTCCCCCACCACTCTATTGAAATAGCTCGTCAAGATCACCAATAACTTCTATATTGTTAAATTCAATGGTCTCCTCTTCCTATACAAATTCTGTTTCTGCTTTTATCCAATGACAACAATATGGTGATTTCATCACTGGTATATGAATAAATTCCTACTGACTTTTAAAGCTAATGCCCAAACCCATGAATTATTTTTTGATGACATATTTCTCCTCTAAACTCAAGCAAGTTCAACTTCTCCATGAGATATTCAGGGTTGTCACCAACCTGGACAAACCAGTCAATGGTGCAGCAGTTCACAAGGGAGGGAAACATCCGACATCGGGATCGAAAGGCTTCCCCAACAGGGCTCATGCAGAGAACAATGTGCAGCTTCTGACGGACTCTGCTGATAAAGTACTGAAACACCTGACCAGAGAAACAGAAACAACAACAAAAAAAAAAACTTGACATTTTTCACTGTAAAATAAAGATGAAGTTACAATGAAAATAAATGCTGGTTAATGAATTTGATGCTAACAATATCAAATATATAAAAGAAGATAGCATAACATATATGTAACTTGTCAGTATATACTCCAACGTCTTTCTATGATGCAGTCTGCAAAGATTAAAAATGGTGTTTTCCAGATTTCATTGTAACTAGAGTTTTGGATGTGGTTTAGGTCCTCTTTAGCAGGTACTTGAGGAGATCCTTTGAATAAGTGGAAGGGGTTATTCATGGAAGGCTTTGATTTGGGATAGAGGAACACTGGGAAAGAGGCAGTAGAAGTGGTGTGGTCCTGGAGCTATTATCTCTGGCCTGTTAGAGGAGGCACAGTTTTGGAGCTGGTAGCTGAAGCAGTGGTCCACTGTCCAGTTTAGAAGCTTAAGGAGCTCTGGTGGTGTAGTGGGTAAGGTACTTGGCTGCTAACCAGAAGGTCAGTAGTTCAAACCTACCAGCCGTTCCATAGAAGGAAGATGAGGCAATTTATTGCAGTAAAGATTTACAGCCTCAGAAACCAAATAGGGGTCGCTATAAGTTGGAATCTACTTGATGACAGTGAGTTTTTTTTTTTTGTTGTTGGTTCAGCAGTAATAACTGTGGCAGAGAGAGCAACTTCCTTGGTAACTGACTTCTACAGTGTGCATTTTACATTCATTCCTTGGGGGTCAGCCTGGAATTTCTTTTTTTGGCTTCCCAATGATTTTTGCCCTTCTAATAAATCCCTTTTTGTGAGCTGAAGTAGATCCTATTGTCTGTAGCTATAAACCCTGACCTAGCAATTCAAGAGATTTTCATGAAAGGCCAAAGAAAAGACATAAGAAAAAATAGCTTATAAAAAAAAAAGTTACAGAAGGTGCAGAAAGAAGGGAAAGGACTTGTATGGGGAAACTGAAGTTGAGAGCAACTAAAATTGTTCCCTGAGAGAGTGAACTGAAAGGCATTTCTATCTTAGTTGTGCTGACAGGCAAGGGGGTCAAAAATACTGGCCTCATGCATTCAGCTCTACTCAGATGGTGCTGCAGGTGTGTAAATACACTTGGGCTTAAAGGAGGATGTGAGAATCTGGCCAGTTTGGACAAGACTTCGACCTCTGAGGGGCAGCAGAGTTTCTGTTTTTTGTTTTCCACAGATCTTTCTGGAAGTCTGGCGAATAAATATTTTAAACCCAGAAAATTAACACAGGATTACAAACAAAACTATGTTGAAAAAAAAATCTGCTAATGGACTCTATTTATGTGCAAACAAAATACTGTTTATAAGGAGCCCTGGTGGCACAGTAGTTAAGCACTTGGCTGTTAACCAAATGGTAACTGCTCTGTGAAAGATGTAGCAATCTGCTTCTTTATTGATTATAGCCTTGGAAATCCTATGGGGTAGTTCTGCTCTGTCCTATAGGGTAGCTACAAGTTGGAATTGACTCCATGCAACAGCTTTTTGGAATAGGGTACTAGTTTATGGTCACAAAAGAAATCTTACTTAGACTATTGTAATTTCTGTTCTTGTTGAATATATATGTGTGTGTGTGTGTGTGTGTAGTGTGTGTATATACACACACATATATAATTTATAAAT